CCTTGTTCCCCTTATGGAATCCTCCTGTATCTTCCTATTAACCTTAGAAGGGGTGATTAACTACTCATGTGACCTTCAAGGTTTTCCAGCAGCTGGACTTGACCTTCCTCTCTCTTCCCACCCCCACCTCAGAGCCTTCCTACCCCAGAGCCATTGCTCTATTTCTGCTTAAAAAGCCTGTTCTTTCAAACTTTCACATGGCTCCTCCTTTATTTTATTCAGATCTCAGCAAAGTCCTTTTCACCTAGTCTATTTAAAGGAGTTTTTCCTTCTCATCTTTGCCAGCCTGTCTACTCTACTTGGCTTAGACTGTAGCAGTAACCACACCTGGCATTGTATTAAATGCCTATTTATTTAAATGTCAGCCTTTTCTCTTAAAATATATCTCTTAGAGAGGAGGAATTTGTTTTTTTCCCCATCATTTTCCCTGTAGGGCCTGGTACAAAGAATTTCCTCAATAAAACATACCCAGATATTTAATCTACTCATAAATTCTGCCAGCCAACCAACCATCCACCAATCAATTCACCAGTCTATCCATGCATATGTAAATCTAACCACCCAAGAATCTATTGATGCATCCAGCCATCCATACACCCATCTACCTATCAGCGTATCCATACATCCACCCACACATACATCTACTCACCATGTGTTCATCCAGACACCCATCTACCCACACACCCATCCATCCATCTATCCATCCATCAACCTCATACATCTACCTATCCACCATTATCCATCTATATCACTCGGCACGTCATCTATTATTGATTCATCTTCAAAAATGTTAATTTGACATTTGATGTGAGAGAAGATCACAAGTGCTGGAAACATCCAAATGCTGTCTGAATTACCCAAGGCAAACTTTCACAGTCAAGATTAAGGTACCCAATGGACTAAAGCGCAGAGAGGAACTTTTATGTGATGAGCTCTATGCCTTCTGCATGATTAGCTTCACATTGTCTTTGATCTTACATGTCTTCTCTAAGTTCTGTGTGCACGGCTAAATTTTTCCAAAGACAGAATTTAAGCTCTGTGCTGCCTGTGCTTCAGATGTTGTTAGAAATGCAGAGGATTCACGTTTCTATCCTGCCAGGTCTTGCAGATATTCAGTCCCAAGTAAATACACAGGGTCTTATATAATTGCAAACTGTTTGGCCTATTGCTCAGGCTTATCACTAACAAACTCTTACAACTTAAATTAACCCATAATTCTTATCTATGTTTAGCCATGTGGATTGGTACCTTTTCTCAGTAACGCAATCTCATCTTGCTTCCCCTGAATCTGGCAAGCAACTCACTCTCTGCCTTCTTCTTCCCAGAATTCTCCTAGTCTTGTAGCCCCACCTCTACTTCCTGCCTGGCTATTGTCCAATCAGTGTTTTGCTAAACCAATATGAATGACAAATCTTTGCAGTGTACAAGAGCATTACCCCACATCAATTCAGGGATAAATGATGCAGACAGGATCACAGTTCATGGAGGACAGTAAAGAGTCAAAGATATGGGGTTTACAGGGGCCATGGCCACTGGACCCCAAGACAGTCTTGAGAGTCAAGGGGGAAACTTTGAATGAAAACATGAAGAATGATGCAGCCTTGGCCAGGTGATGTTAAGAACCCTTTCAACAACCTAGAAGATTCCTTTCATGGCAGAAAAAACACTGCAGGCATGGAATTTGCCTGGAACTTCCTAACCTGGTAGCAGTTCACAAACACTTCAGAGGAAGCTCTCTCTGCTCCAAAGGCAAGAACAATCACTTTCATAAGTAAACCCTAATAATAGTCCAGACACAATTTAGGGCTACAAGAATGGTGCCCATGGAAGCCCTAAATAGTGTGTATTGCTACTGATTGCTTGGGCCTTAAGGAAGCCGAAGATTCCCAAATGCATCATGGAGAGACTCAAGCTTGCAGTATCTGAAGCATTTGCATTATCGTGCACTATTCAGAGCCACCAAGAAACAAAGTCAAGGCCACCTGTTTCTGCTGTTATGCATGCAGGCTTTCTTAGAGTCCCAAGCATGGGCAGTGTACCATTAGCCTAATGAACTCTGAAGTCCTGGGGAAGCAGTGGGTACCCGTGATTCCCATCCCACTCAGTTCAAGAAGAAGGCCCTGTAGAGAAGAACAGTTCTATAAAGACCTGCGGGAGACAAGGCCAAGAGGCACTTGGAGCCTCCCCTGATTTCTCACATCCAGAAGGCAAATGAAGTCTGTCTTCCCAGCGTGGGGAATTTGTCTTATCTGTCTCTGATCTCCTGTCAATGAAATGAACATACACTTGGCACGTACAATGAAGGCTATGAGATACTTTGCCACGTATGTTGTATTGTTGATTGATATCCCCTCCCATTTTTCCTCTCCTTCCCTCTCTTCTGCTCTGTTCCCTGTGCCTGAGTGTGCTCCTAAAATGCTACCTATCTGGGGTGTCAAGAGAATTCAAGTAAGACCAGTAAGCCAATCTTTGAAATTAACGAGCTCCATCTTCAATGGTTCTCCAATGATGACTCAAGCGGTACCCTTGCCTGTCCAAGATTTACCAAGAATTTCAGATGTGTGTTGACCATCTCTGTCTCATCCATTGAGAACTGTCAAATCCATTGGGACACCAATTGATTAGTTTGTAAAATTATTTTGTTGCTTAATTTTTTGAGTTATTGTATATTTTGCATATAAATCCACTATCAGATGTATGGCTGGGAAATATCATGTATACTGTCTTCTCTCTTTGCTTCCTCTGCTAGGGCATTTTAGTGTTATCAGGCCCCATTTCTCAGTTGTTGGCAGTATTTCCTGAGTGACTGGAACTCTGTGTGTGTGTGTGCATGTGTGTGTAGTGTGAAATCACTTAAGGCAACAGAGGAGACCAAAAGGCAAATGGAGGAATTGAAAACGGGGAGGAAGGTAAGTGTATGGGGGGACTGTGCTCCACATGCAATATATACTTGTATAGAATATTTAAGTAACATTTTTTATTGCTTGTTTTGTTTATTTTCAAGACAAAGTCTCTCTGTGCAACCTTGGCTGGCCTGGAACTCACTCTGTAGACCAGACTGGCCTAGAACTTATAGAGATCACCTGTCTCCGCCTCTGGAATGCTGGGATTAAAGATATGCGCCACCACCGCCCAGCTGTAACAATTTTTTTAATCTCAAAAATATCAACTTTTGGATTTTTTTGCAAACTGTAGCAACTATCACATTCATATTAATCCAAATCCTTAAAAAATCAATGTTTTCTACTCTATTATTTTCTTTTATACCTAAATCATAGTTTATAGTTTTATAAAAGTAATTCTGTTACTCCTTGGTATGAGGGAAAAAAATCATTTCTAGCACAAGGAAAGAAAATTCCGGTGGGTGGCAGAACAGTGTCAGCCAACCAAATCCTTTGAGGGCAGAACAGCTGCTCAGCCTTCACAGAAACATCTGCTTACCCTTCTGTGTCTGTGTCTCTGTGTGTGTGTGTGTGTGTGTTCATGTGGGCTGGGTACACATGCATGTGTGCATGTTTGCGTGTGGATGTCAGCGGGGCAATCTTCAGGGCTGTGTCTCGGGTGCCGTTGGCACCCCTTCTATTGAAGACAAGGTTTCTCACTGGCCTGGAGCTCACCATGCAGGCTATACTGGCCAGAGAGGCCCAGAACCCACCTGTCCATCACCCCAGTGCTGGAACTGCAGGCAAGCACCACGATTGCACTCAGCTTTTTTATGTGGATTCTGGAGACCTAGCTCAGATCTTCTTACTTGCAAGGCAAACCATCTTTGCGCACTGAGATGTCTCTCAAACCCCAGCTTAATCTTTGGCTTTCATTTTCTTTCTTTTTTAAACAAGGGCTCATCTAATATGTGCTGAACACTGGCCTCAAACTCTCTGTGTGTCCTAGGGTGACCTTGACCTTGACCTCCTGCCTCATCTACCTCCTAAGTGCTGGAATACAGGCATGGGCTGTATTACCTGGTCATGTGGCACTGGAGACTGATCCCAGAGCCTTGGGCACGCTAGGCAAGAGCTGTACCAGCTGAGTAACAACTACAGCACCATCTTCTCAGGGGAAGAGAGAGAGAGAGAGAGAGAGAGAGAGAGAGAGAGAGAGAGAGAGAGAGAGAGAGAGAGCGCAAGAGCTGTGCATGTGTATGTGTGTGCATGCATGCATGTATGGGTGCATGCGTGCGTGTGTGCGTGTGTGCGTGTGTGCGTGTGTGTGCGTGTGCGTGTGTGCGTGTGTGCGTGCGTGTGTGCGTGTGTGTGAACAACTGCTATTCATACTGTGAACTGGGTCTGGTCTTGTGTCTGCCTCCGGCCGTCCTCATACCCTGCAAATGTACGTCATTACTGCTCCTGTTAGACAAGCAAGGATGTCTTGAGTAACAGACTTAGCACTGGCGTCTTGATAACTATGTGTGACACTACTGGGGTCATCTTTGAGCTGTCAGTTAAGTGTGGAGATTTATAAGGCAGTTCCTTGGGCACCCCTGGCTCTCTCCAGGCTGCAGGGAAAGCTGGAGGCAGTAGATACATTTCTCTTTAGTGGGAGTCCAGGTTCCACTCAAGGGACATGCCTCATGGTCAGTATCCCCATACACAGAAGACCTTAAGATGCTGCTTCCTTTCACACAACGGTGGTTCACCCATGGCTGCTCCCAGACCACACATGGCTTGACTGGGTGGTGAGTTTTGCTCTGGTCAGTGTTGTCTAGTAATACAGTTAGCCTCTAAGCTTCATCAGGCATGCAGCAAGACAGAGGTAGGGAGTTAACTCAAAGTCTAGTAAGTTCCTCAATGAAAAAAGGAGGTTGTTACAGTTTGCCCTCAAGCCCCCTTCCTGCAAGAAAGCAGTTTCTTGGAACATAAGGAATTGCCCCTTCCCCACCAGGAATGTAACATGCTACATGAGAGATAATGGTTGGATTATTTATTCTAGTACCTACAGGTAGGATTTCAAGATTCATCTCTTTAGAAAAAAAGGAGATCTAGATGGTAATATTTATTCAGAGCAAGGAAATAGGCATAGTGGAAATAAGCTAAAGGAGCATAGATTTATTGAACTATTTTTAAAAATAGTCACAGTGATACACACCCGACTCAGTGACTCCCCTTCTAGGATTTTAGCAACAGAAAATATGTATTCACAGATTTTCATTGAAACATTGTTTATACCAGGAGACGTTTTGAGAAACACCTAAATGTTGTGGTGTAGAACAAAGACTGCTTTGTGCAAAAACCCACATAATAAAACACAAGAAATGAATAAAACCATGGGTTTTAGAATTTTTCATTAATCTAAAAGTTCTTCTATCACTTTGATTCTTTAAAGAAATTATTAAATAATACTTTAAGTGAAATTGGATCTACACATTCACAGAAATAACAAAGGAAAGTACAAAGTATTAAGCATGGCCATATCTGCTGGGTAGAAACTCCGTGTGTTTAGCTTCCATCAGTTTTTGCACATTTCTGTCTCCTTTTAAAAGACTTATTTCTCATGTGTTTATGTGTGTGCCTGTGTGAGCTTGTGCGCACCATGTGGTGCAGGCTCTGAACTGGGGTAAGAGGCAGCTGGAGTCCCTGTGTGGGAGCTGGGAACTGGCACAGGGCCCTCTGCAGCATCAGTAAGTACACGACACTATTCAGCCATCTCTACGGACCCATTACTGCGTTTTAAATAATGTCCTCATCTGAGTTTTTAAGCAAGAAAATAAAAATAGGTAGGAATTGTATAAACAATAGCACAAAAAAGTTTTAATAATTCTGAATAAGCTAAAGCATCCGCTTTTAGCTAGAAGGGAGACGGATGCAAGCTAACTTGACGTGGTCTGGCGCCTGCAGGGGCTCCTATTTAAGAGCATGCTGGATGCAGAACCACTGGTGCCAAGATGACTCGCGTGTGCTCCATGCCTGCAAGTTTCCAGACCTCAGAGACCCCACAGAGCTCATCGAACTGATCTCCTCATGGAGACTCCTCACAAAAATGTGATTAGCTGTATCAAAAAAGCCAGCTCTCCTGCCTAGTCTGATGAAACCCAGTCTAAGTAAATATTCCAGAAGGCCTACTATCTTGTATGCCTGTTTCACAGATAACAAAAATGTTTGTTTATTCTGTACATAGATCAGACAACATAAAACTGACATTCGTAAAACAAATTCTATTTAGCCCAAATCCCATGATCCTGATATCCACACTTACTTACACTGTTTGATAGGTCGATCATCTGAATTGCTAGTGTGTGTGTGTGTGTGTGTGTGTGTGTGAACACACATACTTACTGCTCACAGACCTACATATGTGTGTCTACGTAAATACATGCACATCTTTACACATACATAAGCCTAGAATTCTATGCACTGCTCTCTGTCCTATTTAAATATTTACTAAATTCCTACTACATATCAGATACTACCCTGGTGCTTAAGAAAGATCAGTAAATGAAACAAAGGTCTTTGCCCTCGTGAAACATTTGTTATAGAAAGGAAAACCACGGTGCGCCAAAGTTATTAAACTGAACTAAATTTTGTAATACACTGTAAGGGATCGAGGCGATACGGGAAAGGTATGGGAACAGAAAGTCGTAAACCAGAATATGATCGGTGTGGATTTATTTTTCTAAACGCTTTCTTTATGATTGCGGGTATGTGTGCTTGGGTGCAGATACTCGTGGAGGCCAGAAGAGGGCATCAGATCCCCTAAAGCTGGGATTAGAGGCACTTGTGAGCATTCAACATGGGCGCTGAGAAAGAACTCCGGTCCTCTACAAGAGCAGTTACAGGATTTTTTAAGTCGGGGGTCAAGTTAGAAGTCATATGAGCATGCCAGGGGTGTGAATTAGAAGAGCATGTGCAAGAGGTCTCAGGCAGAGACAGGAATCAAAACAGACAGAGCCACAGCCCTGCGGGGCAATGACCCAACATAGGGGGAGTGAGGACGCTAGGGGAGAAAGCAGAAGAGGGGGGCACAAAAGACATCGTAAGGGCAGGGGGTGTCCAAGAGTCGGACTGTGCAGGACGTCGTGAGCACCATGATGAGGACCTCAGACTCCGTCTAAAGTGGCCAGGAAGAAAGGATACTGAGACGAAGGCAATCTCTGTTTTTATCGTCACCGGCAGCCAGGGCACCATCCCTGTCAGGCAGGCTAACTAAAGAGGAAGCTCAGCGGATGAGTGATTCATCGCACCCCCTGCGCTCCATCTCGGGATGGCCTAGTGCGTTTTCCAACTCTGCATGTGAAATGCCGACGGGAAAGCCAGGAAGGGAATAACCGCATTAGTTCATGTGTAACCCCTTCACAGGGAGGGTGGACGATCCACCCAGCCCACTCCCCCTGCTTGATATGAACCTGGTCAGGGACAGGCTTCGTGCTCTCTGAATTGCCACCTCTCAGTCTCTGGCTTGCAGTTTTCAACCCCGAATTCATCTCTGTCTGCTCCTCTCAACAAATTCACACCTGCCCAGCAACACTGGGCCCCTCTCCTCCATAAACATCTTTGCCTACAAATCCCCCCTCCTTCCACTCATCCATGCAATAACTCTGTAACTTCCATCCCAGGACTGGGGAAATGGGTTAGAAATGAACATATTTAGCACCGGAGGGGGTTGGGCCATGCATCTCTGCTCAGTAGCAGAAACCCTCATATTTCTTGTACAGAGTCTTCATACGTTGATCCAAGCAAAGTTTTTTCATCTTCCCTCTGGCAACGTTGCATACATGTGTTTTCTGTCTTCGCCACCACGGGACCTATCATTCTGCCTGTTTCCATTCACATTGTGAGTGTTTTCTGTGTGAAGTAGGAAAAAAAATACAAAGAACCCTTTGCATTTTGTATATAAATTATATATGATGTTTTTATAACATACTACAAAATCTCCAGGCACTCTTATGTGGCACAGTGCAATATAATGAGTAAATACACATTTTTCTAATAACCAATTCCTTTCTTCACACGCGAACATATAAAGGCGTTACCGTCAGGCTGGGGAAAAAATTCCTCACAACAGAAAACTCAACCCAGCCTGAAATTCTGATGATTCTTCCAATGAGAGCTGGTTAATTGGGTCTTTGAATTAATAGAAGTGCCAAGTGCTCTGCTTGTTGTGTTTGGAGAATGAGTTTTACAAACAGTTATACAGGAGAAAATCATTAGAAGAGGGAGGCCAAGACAGCGCTGTAATAGCTGGAAAAGGAGCCCTGGGTCTTAATTAAATTCAGGTAGAAATGATAGCTTTTGCAGATGATAGCAGACTCCATTCTGCAAGGAAGCCACTTTCATAATTTCAGTGTTCTGCCCAGCAAGAGGGGAGGGAACAGTGCATTGTGCAGGAAGCTGGGAGCACACAGCTGAAGTGAAGGTAATGCAAACAGTATCTCCTGGGTGCCAAGAATGCGCCAGACGCTGGGCCCCACCTGTGCATGTGCCTGCAGTCTTAAGAGTGTTGCCTGTTTAAGAAAGTGCCTGCTCCACTGTGAGCATTCCAATTGTTGTTTGAGTGATACATCAATTGATGGATCAATTGTGTAAAGCTGATACCAAGAGAAACTGTAAGACTTGCCTAAAATCATATGGGAATTCAAATCCAGTTCTGTTAGATGCCAAAAGTTTTCAAATCATCTCTCTCTCTCTCTCTCTCTCTCTCTCTCTCTCTCTCTCTCTCTCTCTCTCTCTCTCTCTCTCTCTCTCACACACACACACACACACACACACACTCCTCTTGAATGCAGATGTACACCCTTTTATCTACAGATGGGAAATTGTGGAAAGAAAAATGAGCAAGAAAATATGAGAAAAAATCCTTTTGGGATGAAAAAGACACAGTTTGCAAAGTGACCTTCACAGCTTATGAAAATTTGTGCTTCCAGGTCCCCTCCCTTCATGAAAAGTTATTAAAAATTGTATTTATCATGTGTTTGCATTAGTGTGAGACATGTAATCCAAATTGTATTTGTTCGTCTGACAATACATAAATATTGTATCAGATAACTGAAACTGAAAGAAATGCCCACTGGGTAAACCAAGACTATGTTTGTCAAGACTGGTGGTTTGAAGGAAAGTGTCTCCCATAGGCTCACAGGGAATGCATTATTGGAAAGAATTAGGACAAATCGCCTCATTGGAGTAGGTGTGGCCTTGTTGGAGGAAATGTGCCACTTGAGGTGGGCTTTGAGTTTTTGGAAACTCAAGTCCTGGCTGCCTGCATGCTGATGTGCTTCCCACCGTGATGATAATGGACTAATCCTATGAAACTGTAAGCCAGCCCCAATTCAATGTTTTCCTTTGTAAGAGTTACTGCTGTCAGAACAAGACAGGTTAAGTAACAAGAAGGGATGTGATAGTTTGAACGTAATTAGCCCCCATAAGCTCATAGGGAGTGGCACTATTAAGGGTTATGACTTTGTTGGAGTAGGTATGGCCGTGTTGGAGGAAGTGCGTCACTGTGGTGGTGGGCTTAGAGCTGTTCTATGCTCAAGCTATCCCCAGTATCAGTCCACTTCCTGTTGCCTTTGAATCAAGATGTAGAAGTCTCAGCCCCTTCTCCAACACCATGTCTGCCTGCACGCCTCCATGTCCCACCATGATGATAATGAACTGAGCCCTCTGAACTTGAAGCCACCCAATTAAATGCTTTCCTTTATAAGAGTTGTCATGGTCATGGTGTCTCTTCACAGCTATAGAAATGCTAAACTAAGACAAGGGCTTAAGGGAGGTGGGGGTGAACACAATCTCCCTGACAAAGGAAAATAGAATTTGTGGGTGGGCTGGAGCCAGGTGGGGTTGGGAACAAGAGGACTGGGTGGGAGTAGGGGGCTGGAGGGAGAAAATACTGGGAAACATGAGTGACTAAAATTGGGGGGCATTTCAGAGGAGAGGTGAAAAATTAATGCAATGACAACTCCCTGGAATCGATGAAAAGAATCCTATCCAAGAATCCTAGCAATGGGAGACACAGAGCCTGAACCATCCATCTTCTGTTACTACGAAAGACCAGGAAAGTAGTAGATGAATTGGAAAACCAACCCAGTCACAAAGCCTTCAGCCTACAGTTTGCCCTGCCTGTAGAGTGTTCTGTGGACCACAGCCTAGCAGAATCCAGAATCATCATCAGAGATACTAGAGAAACTTCATCAAGCAACTGATGGGAGCAGATGCAGAGTCCCACAACCAAATATTAGGTTCACCTGGCTGGGACTCTTGGGGCTGGCAGAGATCAGGAGGCCTCTAGCTGTCTGCCCTGGGTCCTCTGCATACATGTTATGGCTAAGTAGCTTGGTGTTATCGTGGGACTCCTAACAGTGGGGACGGGTGCTGTCTCTGACTCTTTTACCTGCTCGTGGGGCCCTTTCCCTCCTACTGGATGGCCTCTTCCAGCCTTGATGTGATGATGTGTGCCTGGTTTTATTGTAGCTTGTTACACCATGTTTGGTTGATGTCCCTGGGAGGCTTGTTCTTTTCTGAGGGGAGATGGGGAGGGGCTGGATCTGGGGGGAAGGAGAGGTTGTGGGCAGAGAGACTTGGGGAAGGGGAAGGAGGGGAATCTGTGGTCTGGGTATAATATAAAAGAAAAGAAGAAAGAGAAAAAAGAAATGCTGTGGTCATGGTGTCTCTTCACAGCAATAGAACTTTGACTAGACAGTTATTGGGGCTGTAGCTCAGTTGGTAGAATGCTTGAGTGCTATGTGTGAAGCCCTGGGTTCTATCCCCAGATCTGTATAAACTGGGTGTAGGCACACATACCTGTAATCCCAACACTGGGGAGGTAGAGGAAGCAGGGTCAGAAATTCAAGGTCATTGTCAACTTCCTAGTGAGTCTAAGATGAACCTGGTCTAAGTGAGACCATCCGCCCCTTCAGATGAATAAACAAAGACAAGATTATGCTTTCTGATGATTTACATGAGAATGGCCCCCATAAGCTGATTTATGTGAATGCTTTCTCCCTAGTCGGTAGACTGTTTAAGGAGAATTAGAAGGTGTGGGGCTTTGTTGGAGGAGGTGTGTCACTGGGGCATGAACTTCCAGGTTTCTAAAGCCTAAGCAATCCCCAGCTCCCTTGCTTTCCTTCTGACTCTCAGCTACTGCCCTGGCACCATGCTTGCCTGTCTGCTACCATACTCCCTGCTGGGATGCTCATGGACTCACCTTCTGAAGCTGTAAGCCCAATAAACTCTTCTCTATAAGTTGTCTTGGAGGCTGTGTCTTAGCACAGCCACAGAAAAGTAAGATGTGTACTAGAGAAAACTTACAATAGTCTAACCACAGGCATTTTTTGTCTTTCTCTAATTCGGTGTGTGTAGGGTATACAATGTGTGTATGTGTGTGTGAGTGTGCTTTTATACATATTGGGTGTGCATGCCAATGGAGACCCAAGGCTGATGTCAGGCATCGTCCTCTACTGCTCTTCCGTCTTATTCAGTGAGGCAGGGTCTCTCAGTCCAGTTAAGAGTGTACTGATACTGGCTACAAATTGCTTTGAGGAATCCCCATCTCAACCTTCCAATGCTGGAATTACAGGTGGGTACTAGGGACCTTATTACGTGGATTCTGGTCTTTATGCTTACACAGCCATCTCCAAAGAGCACGAGGATTGTTTTTATTTAAATTTAAAGCAATCTTATCGTACATACCAGTCCCAATTACCTCTCCCTCCCATCCTCCCACTACTCCCACCTTCTCCCCACTCCATCCCCCATCCACTCCTCAGAGAAGGCAAGGCCTCCCATGGGGGATCATCAAAGTTTGTCACATCATTGGGGGCAGGACCGAGGCCCTTCTCCCTGTATCTAGGCTGAGCAATATGTCCCTTCATGGGGAATGGGCTCCAAAAAGTCAGTTCATGCACTAGAAATAAATACTGGTTCCAATGCCTGCAGGCACATAGACTGCCCAAGTCCACTGGCTGATATCCACTTTCATGGGGACATACATGGACATCCAAGAAGGGGAAAGGGACAAGATCTCAGGAGTAAATTGCAAGAGGATTTTTATACAGTAAAATATGTATATAGACATACATATTGACATAGCTACTCATAGAGAGTCATGAAACATCCAAGGTCCTTCTAACTTCCTTTCTAGAATCCTTATTAAGCACCTTTGTGCCCTGTGAAAACAAGGGGCCAACTCCACTTCCAGACATCCATCTGCATCCTCTACAAGATGAAGGCGACTATGACAGGGATGACCCACCTAAATCCTAAGCAACATGAAGTAGAGTAGACACCAATAATCCATCTGCATCCTATGCAGGATGAAGGAGAATGTGACAGGGATGAAAGAGAGATGTCTCTTCCTCTAGAGGTTTGCTTTACTGAGGAGGCTTCTTCAGGGACTTCTGCACACATCTCATCAGCCATAACTGTGTCCATCAAACTTCAGAGACTCTAGCAAAGTATTATCAGGTAGAATCGTTGCTCTTCCATAACAAAATCAGGGTTGTTTCTAAGGAAAATTCTAAGGAGGAAATGAAGTTAATGCAGACAGTGATGAGTGCCTGCTCCAATGGCCATAAATTTGTCAAGACAAAATGATTCCCCATTCCCAATGCAGAATGGAACCTGTCACAGTACTACTTAAGTTCAGGTCATTTTCAGTCTGGAAGAAGACTAAGAGAGCTTAGGTGAACCTACTGAGATCATTCAGGCCCTTCTGGCTCCCCGACTACTGGGAAAACTGGAAGATGGCCATGAAATCACCCACATGATAGGAGCCCAGATCGTGACTGCTTCTCACAGTGCATAATCAGCTTGGCTTGAACTCTTACTACTGAAAAATATGGTTAGCAATA